ATTGCGAGCATGATATAAGGCCTTCCATTCTTCGTTACTAGTGGTTAACCAATTAGTAAGTAGATTGTGTGTTTGAGGTAAATGTGGGATATTTAGTTGATGGGTACTGTTAAGTTTGTCAATAGTAGAGTTGTGTCTCTACAACTTTTGTTAGAAGTTAAAAAGAGATTTGCTTAGTAAGAAATCGATTTATCTTTGAAGAAACTTCAGATTCCAAAAAAGACAAAATTTATATAATAAACATATCCCCAAAGTTTACTATATTTTTTCACTGGTTCCCTCATAGATCATGAATTAATTTATTAATATATATAACACTATATTTTTTACTTTAATTAGAGATATATAGCGTATATTTTATTTATTCTCATCTATTAAAACACTATTAGCTAAAGTCAAAGAAGTATTTACTCAAAGTCTAGCACATCATTGTTAGTATATTGACCATTTGCATTTTTGTGATGTAACAAATCTAAAAAAAATACTTTTTTCTACTAAAACCTGATGAAATTCTTGGTTTTATATAGTTTTATATACGAAGAAGTATCTTCCTTATTGGCATGAATTTTTTCAAAATGAAGTTGAATTAGATGAAATGAAAACTTTAAAAATAATTTGTTCTTTTCTTTCTAATCCTTATCAATTTGGTTTAATTACAATCTATATTAATTTTATCAGTATTTTTTCTAGAGAATTTATATCTACCTTAAATTTTTTTCAACAAGAAAAACCTATAATTCCTTATGTAGAAGATAGACTTCAACAACTTACTAATTACATTGAATCAAATATTAAAGCTATATATTTTGGTTTACAAATAGATGAACTTATTACTAGTAATAGATTTAAATCATTTGAATTTAATTCAATATTTCAAAATGCTTTTACCAAAGCATATTTAAAATTTGCAACACATATTCCTTCACATTCTAGAAGACCACTTTTTAAAGCTTGTCAAATTTTTAATCCAAAATTTATTCACACAGGAGGAATTGATCAAAAGAATTTATGACGCTATGAAATTATTTTGAATTAAGTAATCTGTCTAACAATTTATTAAATGAATAGGCAATTTACTGTAATTTGGAAGATATAGATCTTGAAGATATGAAAGAAATTGATTTGGATAATTATTGGTCAAAATGAGTAAACGTTTACCACTTTTATCTCAAATCGCTTTAGATTATATATGGTTACCCATTTCCTCATGTAGTATAAAACAGTTTTTTGATATATACATTATTCTCTATGTAATGGACATTTGATATAACAAATTTGGATTTGAC